AGCCCTGATAATGGATTATCACCGGGGACCGTTTAATGTATCGTTTTCTGTCGCGGCCACGATAAATAGGTCGCCATCGCTTCTGACGAGATCGTAACCATCCCCTTAATTAGCCCCGCCAGAATGGCGTCGAGATAATTGGGCAAAATTTTTGGCGGATAAACGAAATTTATAACCGATTATTTCATTCTCCAAATAATCTGATCTTTTTCAATATTCAAGGTTGGTTAACAGCAACCTAGTCTTTGTTCATAAATTTTTCTTTTCACCGGGAACTTTAATTTTTTTATATTTCTTTTTTAGCACCGGTTTGCGATTCGACTTTATAAATTCATAGTTGACAGTTCATTTCGATCCTCCAATCTTCCAAGAACGATACAACCGAGAATATATTTTCTATGAACCGTTGAGCGTTGGTAAAAAATTATGCAAAAATTGTTTAAAATGCCACAGGCCCGTAACAATGAAGAATTTCTCTTCATTACGAATAAAATAATTTCCATCGCGGGGGTCGTGGATTAATTAAATCAAGATTAAATTCGACAAGAAATTCCAGAAAAAATTCTTTCAGACACCGGGATCCCGGGCCAAATTCTCCCCTCCCCCTTTCCTCCCAGCAAACGATTAATTGTTAATTAACGGCGTCGGTGGGTTCGTTAATTAGCAGCGAGGATCGGGCTACGTTGAATTAATAGGAAGTTAATTGTAGGAGGTTTGGAATTTATTTTCCAACGACGTGGCCGAAGCGGCGGTCGCGCAAATATTTGTCCCGTCACCCTCCCCCCCACTCCAGCTCTGTTCCACCCCCTCTAGCGGGCTCTTTGAAAGCAGAAAAGTGGCTGTTTAACCTGGCAACCACTCCTCCCGCGGCTCCTTTTTTTTTATATTTGCCTCCACACGCGCCGGGACGAAATGAAAATTCCATCTCTCGTGAGACGGCCGCTGACCTTGCCGGGGAAAAATTCACCGGTTCGCTTTTCTCGCGACACGTTTTTTCACCCCCTCCCTGCGCCCGGAAAATAGAAGCGGGACCAGGCAATTAGCGACGGAGACGCCGTCTCCGAGCGTCCAAAGAGGACTATTTTACGAAAATTGCTGCCAGCTACGAAACTTCCGGCTCTAAATTATACATTCGACGCTCCGGGAGACTTCATTTATTTATTCATTCGACGGTTTTCGTTCGTCGTTCGAAGAATTATTTATATTTGTAATCTAACCTTTAAAAATATTGTGTTGAATTTCACGTATACAGAAATCAATCTTCGTAGATAAGTAGGAAAACATATACCTTCCATATATAATAAAGACTACTTATATTATAGTGTTTGGCGAATTTTTATTCTTACGAGCAGATACTTTTAAAATGCGGAGAATTATTTTTTGGGACCGATAGTTTCCGTTTATTAATAAATTTTTAATCTCATTAACTTTCTCGGCCCCCTTAGTTCGTAAATCGAACGCGAAAGAAACGAGGTTGGCGATTGTTCGCGGCTCGAGGCCCGTGAGAAAATGGCGTCGCGAGACAGAGAAGGCCCTCGGAAGTTTCGCGAAGATGGTCGGGTGAATCACCGAGTGAACCTCGATGGAAAATGACGCGAAAATTAGCGTGAAATCTCGCTTTCTCGCGGATTTCGAGCGAAGCGTTCGCGAGAGGAGAGAGCCGTCAGAGTTTGCGGGAACTTGAACTCGCTGGTGAAAAGTTTGCCGCCGGAAACCACGCGGTAATTATTGCGTAACTTCGACCGGGACTCTTTGTTAATAATGAACGCCACTCGAGACGAGTATCCGATGTTGAGCGCTCGAGGAAGCGTGAACTTCATCTTCGCACTTCTGTTTCCGTCCTCTCATCGGCTGTTACTTCCACATAAAATTTCCCACTCTCTTTCCTTTTCCATTTCACTTTTCCGACTCGCGCCGTTCTTATATCTCGCATTTCTCGACGAAAGTTTCTCCAGCCCATTTAATTATTCACATATTTACGAAGGGGCGGAAACAAGCAAAGCCTATATAATTGAATTAAAATTAAATATGTTAACGCATTAGGCAAACCGAATAACTTTCATCTCGTTCCGCCGTATTGGAAAAAAGGAAACGTTGGCGTTTGCAATAAATCGACTGTTTTTACAAATTACACGGTTTCCTTTATGTTTGAGAAACGCGAAAACGTTACATAAGGGATAATGAGAGAAAGCACGATAATACAATTCACTGCCAGGATCACTTTAACACGATTCGAATGAGACTGGGAAGATGGCCGTGAACTTGGCCACCACGATGCATCGACCACAGGCCCACGATCAATGCGCGCGCACGTCAATCATGTGCAGATGCCCAATCTCGGTCTTGAGCGCATCTTTGTATGAGCGGTGCCCGAGAGGTGCTACCGTTGAGCGCCCTGGTGGACCAAGCGTTAATTATTTCTCGAACGCTTTAACACGATTTTATGAATCGTTACTTTTAATTTCGATGTGAGAATTAAAACGAAAGGGAGAATATTTCAGTGCGACGAAAAGGTGCAGGCGATCGATTTAGGGTGCAAAGATAGTCTCCGGTGGCCATCGAGTTATTAATCTCGCCTCTCCCGCAACGGGGGAAAAAGCACTCTGATTTTTCCCGGGGTCGACGGAGGATCATAAATATTACATTTTACGATCTTAGTCGCGCGTTCGTACGTGGCTTTCGTTGGGCCTGTCGTGATCGTCGCGACAACACTGTTGTGGTTGGCTCACGACGAAGAAGTTTTGCTGGTTGGTTTTTTAAATTCTTTATTGCGTGAAGTAATCCTTTTCGGATTTTTTAGTGTGCTGTGGTCGTAGCTCGCGGGCTACCTTATATACCTAATTTTGGTGGGTGGAGACGCCGGAGTCGGAATAGAAAATTGGGAGTGGTTTATCAGGATTGGCTAATTGGGAAAAATGTAGGCTGGGACCTAGGAAAAGGAGTGGAGGTATGCATAGGGCTGTTCTGGAAAAGGAAAGTCGGTTAAGAGGACACCAGGGTAAGTGAAAACATGTGGGAAATATGGGTGGTCGAGCGGCGCCTCCAACCACCTAGCCGACGTCTGGCCTTGAGGGTACCACTTGCCCAGGCGACGAAAACTGCCTAATGAACAGGCGAGCAAGTGGTTGGGCCCTAACACTTGGGCCTACCCTACGTATTATATTGAGTCGCGACGGGACGCTCGAGGGTCTGCTACGCAACAGGGCCTTTGCGCCACGCTTATTAAGCGAGCTATAATTTTATGGCGTTTAATGAATTCGAAACTTCTCGGGAACCCCGAGAACGGTAGGATCGCTGTAGAATGTTCGGGAACTTGGAGGAATCTTCGTTCGGCAAGCTTCATAGACAAGGTCCGTTCAAGGAAAGCTCCTTGTTTCGAAATGGGACTTTCAGTTTTTAAAGGAAAAAACGATCGCTTGCATTGGCCAACATTTACGATTTAATTGCAGCATTTACCAAGCATACAATTATTCTGATAACAATAATGACATTACTATTACTTGTTATCATCATTATCAATAATATTAATTCCGCGGTATCGAGTTATATACTAATGGTGTCTGGCCATCATTCATTATTTCAATTTGATGAAATAACAAAGAGTCGGAATAATGTAAATATTCAGCGTTATTCCGAATTTCAATGTATTATTTATTATTGGAATTTGTGGAATTTCGTCTCGAATTCGATACGACGAATCATTATTATATTTATTATTATTATTATTAAATAATACATTTTAACAGGCAGTGACCTTTGTTACAAACTTTTACAGCTAAAATACAATACAAAATACTAAAATAGTAATATTTATGCGTTGGAGGATGTTTTTGTTTTTAACGTTCGTCGTAAGTGGAAATAGCAAATATTGGTCGGACACAATATACCTATGTTCGATAGGAATGTTTTTCAAAATGAAAACTGAGAAAAATATTTTTTAAATTGATCCAAGAATTAAGCAAGTATTCGTACACTTAAATCACCAATAATTGCCTCCTATTTCAATAATAATAATAATAACATTGGAAGAGTTTGAATATGTCTGCGAATTTCAGGAACAAATTGCGCGTGAAAACAAATCGCGAAACGCTGCGTTGCACTCGAAATGTTCTCCCGGAAGTTGAGTTGTCGAAGAGGGAAAGGGGGAAGGGGAGTAATAAAGCGCGCGGGGCGAAATTGAAAATGCAAATCGAGGGAACGGAGTTTCGTAGGTAGCCGCGAAAACTCAGCAGGTAGAATCGCCCGGGTCCGGCGAAAATTTCCGGAATCTCTGGGCGAATGATAGCGCCAGTTACCAACCTACTTCCGGTCCGCGCGTAACAGCTGCTTTGCATAACCTATTTAGCCAGCCACCCTCGCCTCCACGTCGGAATTAAAATTGCAATTGAAATCCTTCGAATCTCGACCTTTCGATCGTTTTGGCTTCGAGAAAGTTATTCGTTTCGCGGGAACACCTTTCAAGGCGAACTCTTTTTTTTTTTTTTTTTTTTTGAGGTTATGTAACCGTCTACAGGATTAGCAGATACAACAAATAGTGCAGAAACTGACTAATACATTATAGTAATTACGATAGAAAGATTGTTGGATCGCTGAACCGAAGAAGAACATTGAAAATTAATTGTAAATATAAATAACAATGCTCAAGGAATTTGACGAAACTCGATACTTCGATACGCTTGAAATAACTGCGATTCTTGTTGTAATATTAACAGTAATATCCCATTACAAAACCGTTAGGAAGGTATAATATAAACGGTATACAAATAAATATTGAATAACGAATGAAAAATATTGAGAATCGAGGAGTTCGAGATAGAAAGAAATAAAAGTTTATGAAATATTAAGGAATACGATTGAAGCACCGATGTCGAGCAATTTAGGTTATGGGCGAAATTCTCGCGCCAATTGATTCGTCAAGCCCGCGGGACGAGGTTCGAGGACTGTTTGCGAAAATCTAGACTGAAGAGAACAGCATGCAGATAGAATTTCAAAGGACTTACCCTTCATGCCGAGGACTAGCAACTTTCTCTGTTGGAGGACACTTTTCCGCGATCGATTTCCCGTCGATCGTGCTCGCACCACCGTCCACGCGTTCGAGGAACAACTTCCGAAACTACACGATCACTGGCGATCCCGTTTCGCGCACTATTGATCGGCCAGATGCTTCAGGAACACCAAACACTTCTGCGAACAACCGAAAGTTACAAATTTACTAAACGATACGAAAATTTCGATTGCTGGACTACCGGTCACCGGTGACCGACGCTACGTATCGCAAAATCGTTTACAATTGAGGTTAGAACCACTACGAAACACAATGTCTACGAAAAAGAAAAAATAATTCCACGTTTAAGTAATTCATTATATTATAATTCACAAAATTCCCGTTCCATTGGCTGTACTTGTCCCGTAAATATGGTCGATTTGTCAACTTTATAACGTACGTTACCCTTTATTTCGTGTCCGTAGAAATGGCGAAGCTAGCCTGGTTCTTGTAGTCTCCCATTTACCGTGGAAACCCTAAGCTCAAATGCACGCTGGCTATTTAATTTACTAGCAATTTTCGGACCCATTTTCCTCCCGCTTCGTTTGCTAATGACGGTGATTTGTCAATCCACCAGCTGGTGTAGTTTTTCCCAGACCACCGTGGCCATTCTTTACCTACTAAACCACCAAAATTTGCATACTTGCCCGCGTTATATCTCACGGTGCTTCTAAATATAATAGCATTTTTATTCGGACTAACCTAAACGGATATATGTATTTGCGAAACCTCAGATCTCTTTTTACACGTTAGCTACACTTTTGTCAAACAATTGGAAGAATAAAATAATCGGGCATGTTCTTTAATGATTACGAAAATAACTGATATATTTAAAATAATCCTTCCATTACGATCCCGCCGAGCACACTAATTAGTCGTCAACGGTTTTCGTCGTCACGCCATAATTTCTCGAATGTTCGATAGAGTGCACCATGTATCTGAGATTTACATCAATTTCTTCTAACAATTTTAATATACAATATCTTCGTCTATTATCTGATTCAAACAAATTCTAGGAAATTGCACAAAATACAATGTTTAATTTTAATATGTTTACTTAAAGAATCTAAATAATTAACCAAAATACATATATATTATCTACAGAACAAAGTTCCTAACCTCAAGAAAAGAGGTTTCCCTTTTATAAAATACAAAAAAGTGACCAAGTCTTTTCGCGATACACTCTTAAGAAGTATATTTTTTTTTAATTGGAAAGAAAGCCCATTTGGTAGATTGCTTTGGTAATCTACTCGGCGGTACAATTAAAATTGCCAAGTACGGACCCGTGCCCGAGCTTTTTTTTCCGTTTCACATTCGCGGCTGAATTTCGAGGCGCGAAGGGAAAACCTATTATCAAGATTACCATAGTTTCTACTCAGAGTTACAATTATGTTTATCTACAGCGTTGCCGGCCGCTCTTTTCCCCGTTTGTTTTGCAAAAATCTACACGGTGGCGTGTAATTAGATAAAAAAAAACTCGTTTCACGAGTCCCTGTTTCCGGTGCGATTAAATTATAATCCCAGTCTTTTCCTCCCCCTCCTACTCCTCGATGTTTAAATACATTCAGCCGCGAAACAACTTCGACGAACACGTTAATCGACGATCCCCTGAAACGATTTTTTTAAAGGGTAAGCCGTAAGACGACATTTTTATCATTTTTTTTAGCAAGGAACTATACAACGTCTCCACAATATTCCTGAAATCGTCTAAAAAGAAAAGGCTTGCAAAGGTTATTTTAAAAAATCGTGCCTTCTTCAAAATTAACATCTGCAACCCTGAAACTCGTACGTTACTGTTACGATAGAAGTATTTCAGAAATCATTATAAATATTAAACATTCGAATTGTTTTAATCCAAGCATCGATCTTTATACGAATCTCAGATATTTGGCGAACGAAATAAAAAATAAAATAGGAGCCCCATAAAATCGCGTACCTTTGGGGTTCGCAACAATTTTGTGTATTTATTCCGGTATCTCGAGCAGACTACACGCGCCACATTCTACAAGAAAGAGTTATCTCGATCTCCATTTTCGTTGCAATTCGAAACGTTCTGATATTAAAAATACCTGGAGGAGACGCGAAGAACGGGAACCGTAAGTAGGTGGCACGATGTTTCCTTCCGGGTGTGCTTTAAGCTCTTTCCAAGTCCGGAGGAACTTCGTACGCGTTTCGAGAACACGGATCGACTTTAAAAAACGTAGAAACGTTGGGACCCTGTCGCAGTATGCATGCCGGGGGGGATTTCGGTATTAATTTTTTAAATTCCCCGAGGAAAATGGAACCCCGTGGATAGCAGTCGAGGAAACTGTATTTTTCCTGGTCTCTGGGGTATTATTATATATCATCCGTGCTACACCCAACATTCTCCAATTTTATTTCCTAGAGAAACTAACTATCTACGACTTTTGTGACATTTGACTTATATTTATTATTTTTTACTGTTTTTCGTGAAAACTCGACACGAGAATCTTAGGAAAAGTTCTTTCAACATTTACGTAAAGAATAGAGAAGAAAAACCGAACTTTGGGGTTTTGATCTCGCGACCTCCACATTACGACAACGATTCCTTTTGTCTTACGAGTACGGAAATAATCCTTGTTTGGATTTATTAAATAACAAAATTTTAATATTCATCATAAACTATGAAATTGTTCACAATATCTAGAGTTAATTTTTCAATTAAAAATTTTAACTGGCTGTATCGTCTGCCCGCGGTTCAGGATTCCTATGAATGCACGACGTTAGTTGGATCTTCTCTTTTATTCAGAGCAACAATGTACAGAAGCTCATAGCGACCCCGTTAACAGAATCTACAATCCGAGCAAAGAGCCTTTAGTTGAAACGTGGACTCTTCCTCGGGTTTGACGAGTTCGTTTAAACCAGTGGTTTTCAAACCCCTTGAAAGGCGACCTCTTAAAAAACGAGAAAACTTCTTTGACAGAGACATGAAAACGACAAGCTTTTCTTACGGTTACTTTGGTCGGTTCTAATCGAAGCTTCGTCGACTTTAAAGCGTTTTTGAGGACACAACTCACCTGTGAAGACTCCAGGGGAACAGGATCTCTTCTCCCGGAGGACACTCGTTGAGAAACAAGCACGTCACAAAACCACACGGCACAACGTCATCGCTCGCGATCGAAAACCGAAGTGAAACCGGAAGAAAAGTCTGTTACTGGTCACTTTTCATTCTTCGACCGTTCACCGCCCCTTCGATTCTTTTCTAACTCGAGATTATCATCGACCTATCGTTCCTCGCCGGTCATGTCTCCTCGATACCACGCGATTCGAACAGGTTTCGATATCCTTTTTCAGCCTGTTCGTGCTTCCCCCCCACTGTCGCGCCTTCTTCGGTCCGTTTCGGCCGAGTCCTGGCTGAAACGAGGGTGTTTCGCATTAATCTGGCTCGCCGGGAGATCGTTAAACGCGTCACTGGGTCAAGGACGGGAGTTAAATTTGCTTTTCGCGCGGCCTTCGCCCCGGGGACTGCGAAAGACGCGTTTGATCGAGGAACAGAAACAAAACGGGGCCGGAAAATGTCATGTCGGACCAGAGATTCTTTCTACGAGATCGGTTATTTCGTTTTAGACTGGACACTAATCAAAATCTGAATACTAATTTCTATAACTCCTGAATGGAAAATTAATAACCCCAACTAGAGATAATGAGACTAAAAATATTATTCAACGAATGGAACGAAGGTAAGAGACATTACAATAAATTTCGAGAATATCTTTCGAAACTGATACACGGTGTTCGGCCACCCCTGGGAAAAATTTTAATGAGGGATTCCAGAGGACAAAATAAGACGAAAAACAGGAATAGCAATTTGTTGATGGAGGCTTCGTTAAAAAGTTATTAACAATTAAATTAAAAAATTTTAAATCGTTTTGGAAAAATTATTTTTGGTTGCGGGGGTCAATTACAATTATTTTTGGTGAATAGACATACCCCCGAAATCCTGCGCATTTTTGAGAAAAAAATTCAGTACGGGCGGAACTTTAAGTGTTAATAACTTTTTAACAAAGCCTCCATCAACAAATTGGTATTCTTGATTTTCAACTTATTTTGGCCTCTAGAATCCCTCATTAAAATTTTTGCCAGGGATGGCCGAACACCCTGTATAACCTGATCTAACGAGATTTTAATGAAAATATATCTGAAATAAGAATAATTAAAAGTTTAGTTATTACAATTTTTTGAAAAGAATAACGAAACTCGAAAATCTCAAAGAACAACTAAGAACAGATTCCTACTGAAACGAAGGCCTTTCTGGCAAAAGTTGCCAGGTTCGTAGTCTTCTAAACACTGTCCCAATTGTTTTTACCGTCGCAAAGGACGAACTATTCGAGAAAAGCACTCGATAAACCATTTGTGACCGTTTCGCGAGGCTCGTAGACGTTAAACACTGACACGTCGACGCGTTCGTTTCCGTCTGAATAGCCGCGAAAGACTGAGGGGTCGGCGGTCGACGGTCGTCCTCGACCGCGCTGGTCTCCGAAATAATGTAAACAAGGACGCGAACCAATTGCAGCTCTCGAGGGTCGGTCGAGGGAAGGGAGATCCCGTCCTTGGACTTTTACGAAGAATTTTATGAACGCGTCTTTTCATGCTCTTTCGTTGGGAATTTCTCCTTTTATTGTGGTTCTACGTTTCAAGCGATGCAATTTCATACGCGTATATCTTTTATATCGTTGGCATTTTTCTGAAACTTTTGCCGAGATTAGTATCTCCTCGCGTTGATCTTTCTTTTACGCGGCTGGATTTTATATCGGTTTTCTTTCGGTAGAACGATTCCGATATTTTTCACATAAAACAGTTTTTATAGCTTTTCGAGTGAAAAATTGGAAAAATGTACCTTTGATTTTCGAAACGCGAACTTTTATGTGAGCCTTTCGCTTCGCCGGAAACAATTTTGACAGATTCTTTTCTCGGAACATTTTCTTAGTTGAATCGTTTAATTTTTTATAGTTATTCAAACTGAAGAAGTGATTTATAAATTTAGTAATTGCAAGATACTATTTTCTTTACGAAGGATCGAAACATTGGGATTAATAAATAATATTGTACGAACCACCACCGCACGAATAGCCTAAAAAATTTCGAAATAGAAAAATTAACATATCACTTGAATAAAAAGAACACTAACTGTATATAGAATGAAAACCATCGTCCCGGAATGAATCCAATTTAGAAATAGGTTCGTTTACCCTTTAACCAGAAACTGGAGTCTGGAACCACCGAACGATTAACGCGAGTTTCGAAGTTCCAAATGGTGGAGCGTTCGTGGCAGAGGTGAAAAAGTTATCGAAGCGAGAAGGCAAGCGTCGTGTCGAGAGGGCGAGTAGCGTTCGGAAAACGGGACAGTCGAGGTCATGGGACCGTTGATTATTGTCAAAGACAAACGGCGAAGCGATCTCGAAGGAATTCTTCCCTCAAAGAACAACCCTTCTCGAGAAATTCTCGAGTATTCTCTTTTGACGGCCGGGCGTCGAGTGGCCTCGGTGTCGTCGCGACGCCCACGTTTCGATCCTTCGACTTCCTGCTCGATACACATCATCTGTCTAATAAAAAAACCGTACGTTAGACAGGAAAAAATAAACGAAACAACGACCCGCTATAAATCGTCTCCTTTTTTTAAATTCGTTACGTTTTTGGACATTAATTTCTGAAATTTCTTAACAGATTAAAAAAGTCAACACACACGGATAATTTTGATTGAAAATTTTGTTAATCTCTTCAACGATTCTGTAATCTATTTTTGCCAACACCATCGCTTATACATACAGGGTGTTTGGCCACTACTGGGAAAAACTTAAATGAGAATTTCTAGAGGCCAAAATAAGACGAAAGTCAAGGATACCGATTTGGTGATTGGGACTCTGTTAACCAGTTGTTAACGTGTAAGGTTCCCTTACAGACATTTCTGTAGAAAACATTTCTGGCCACACAGTATATTTTCGGTAAAGAATTTTTTTCTCGAAAGTGCGTAGGAATTCGGGAGTATGTCTATTCACCAAAAATGATTGTAATTGACACCCTCGACGGAAAATAACTTTTCCAGAAAGATTTGAAATTTTTTAATTTTGTTGAAAAATTGGTCCACTTACTCAAATTTTTTTCTCGAAAATGGTTCGGATTTCGAGGGTATGTCTATTCACCAAAAATGGTTGTGATTGATCCCCGCAACCAAAAATAATTTTTCCATAGTGATTTGAAATTTTTTCAATTAATTTCTTAATAACTTTTTAACGAAGCCTCAATCAAGAAATTGATATTCTTGATTTTCGTCTTATTTTGGCCTCTAGAATCTTCCATTAAAATGTTTCCCAGGGGTGGCAGAACACCCTGTATGGATCGCATAATCACGATCGAATCGATAGCTGGTAGTTTAAATCCTCTTAGCCGTCTTTGAAGCGTCCATAACCTTTAAATATTTCTATTGTGCGTACGGTCAGCCATTTTCCCAAGTTCGAAACAGAATTCTATATTTAACGAGACCCGGCGAAGTAGTTTCACAGAAACGTTAATAACTTTCGAACGTGTCGATTTCGGTTGAAATTTTAAACACCTACGAAACGAAATTAGTTTCGTTTATTTTTTTTTTTTTTTTCGAAAGTTTAGCGAACAATATGGCGGTGCCACGAGTTTCCACCGAGAAAAGCGTCAAAGAGAAACCATCGGTTATTAACGCGGTCTTTTACCGTGCGTAAACATTTGCAAACGCCCGTTAAACGATTTTTAGGAGCCCGGCCGGGGCTTTTAGAGAATTGTTTTCTGTCGTTGCAACATTAATTTCATACACTCACCGGGGTTTGCAGCTGTAATTTGTTCAAAGTACTCCTTGAAATTCAAAGGGCATTGTAGCTGCTCGACTATGGAAACAAATAAATATTCCACGTTAGCTGCGAGCATTATTTTCCACCGAGGATCGTCGAAACGTTGAACGGTACATTTTCACAAGCCACTGTTCAGGTTTAGCGACATTTGTTACGCCTAAATTCGAAAATAATCGCGTGAGAAAAAATTCTTAAATCACGAGAGATAGTTACTAAATGTTTAATAATAATTGTAAATTTCTAGTCCCTCCATTTTTAACAAACTCAAATTTTCTAATGATAAGTCAAAAGGCTACTTTGTATTTAAAATCATATTCATGAAATGAAATCTGTGTCAAAATTAGGAATTAATTTTTTTTTTCAAAGTAATAAAATTGAAATTAACTAAATATGGCAGGATTTTATTATTTTATTATATTATTTGACAAGATCAATGATTATGTAAAATTTTGATAGTTTGTTCCTTGAAGAGGGAAATAGAGAAAAAACAAATAGTTTTCGAATGTATTAAACTTTCCTATTTTCTAAGCCAGTTCGTTTTTACTATTCCACATGCTATACAGTGACGAGTATGTTTAAAGCAGATATTCAAACGGTTCGTTTCGGTGCATGCTTTAGCACCTTTTTCCATGCACGGTGTGCGTTCAAAGGCCATCGAACTACAAACACGGTGGAGCAAATCGCCCCAAGCCAGAGGAACGATGAATTCGCGATCCTCTCCGTAATACCACGGCTGCCGGGAACGAATCACGTTACCGTTGAAAATGTAAATAAGAGTAATACGGATCGAGGTCACCCGTAATAAATCGGTTGATACAGCGAACGCTCGAGATACCAGGCCATCTCGCGATATTATGTATTACGCTACGAAAACCCATAAAGAATGCTAAGTGGCGCTCGTAAAGTGAAAGGAACTCGTCCTTTCGCTCGTAAAATGCACTTTTGTTACGATACAACACAGTCGGATGGCTCGAGCAACGTGAAACAACCATTTTCGAAAAATTACGATTCGATTTCAATTTGGACACCCGGTGGACATTTTTTCGTACTATGAATTAAATTTATCAGGACCATGGTAAAATCGATACACACTGATTTTTGGGAAATCCTAATTTCTACGCTTCTCTCCTACGTATACCTAGATTATTTATTTACATTTAGCGAACAAAGTCTTGGAGCGAAAAATAAAAATGGCGTTGAATTTCCTAACCGTTTCGTGGTATACAAATGTTATCTACAGTAATGACGTATACAGAGTTTTCGGCAACCCCTGGAAAAAATTTAATGGGTGATTCTAGAGACCAAAATAAGACGAAAATCAAGAATACCAATTTGTTGATGGAGGCTTCGTTAAAAAGTTATTAACGTTTAAAATTCCGGCCGTACTGAATTTTTTCCCCGAAAATGCACAAGATTTCGGGGGTATGTCTATTCACCAAAAATAATTGTAATTGACGCCCGCAACCGAAAATAATTGTTCTAAAACGATTTGAAATTTTTTTTTCCGTCGGAAAATTTCGCAACTCGAATTTTTTTTACGAAAGTGCATAGAATTTCGGGGGTATGTGCAATGACCAAAAATGATTGTAATTGACCCCCGCAATTGAAAATAATTTTTTTAGGACGATTTGAAAAATTTGTTTTTCGCCGAAAAACAGCACCTACCCGATTTTTTTTCACGAAAATGGATAGGATTTCGGAGGTATGTGTATTCACCAAAAATTATTATAATTGACCCCCGCAACCGAAAATAATTTTTCCAGAACGATTTGAAATTTTTGAATTTAATTGTTAATAACTTTTTAACGAAGCCTCCATCAACAAATTGGTATTCTTGATTTTCATCTTATCTTGGCCTCTAGAATTCCCCATTAAAATTTTTCCCAGGGGTAGCCAAACACCCTGTACGTCTAGA